AACATCAATTGGTAAGAAATGTCTTGATGTATCTGCAAACGGAAGAAGTAGCAAGTACATATCAAGCACACGGAATGAAAAATAAAAAGACAAAGATAGTGACTGTTAGTTACCTATAAGCAGACCACGGTACTTGAATCTAGGTTTATCTTGAATAAACCAGGGAGCTTTATATATTTGCACAGATTTGGTTAAATAATCAAAAGCGCACAACTGGCTAAATGTCTGCAACATTTTTATTGAAAAACCACACAAAGAATTAGCAAAAAAATAATCCATGACACTCAACAAGAAACAAAAAATGTTCAAGAATCAAAACATACTAGTACATATAGGAAGAGGAAAGTCCTAAATAAAGCCATTAAACAAACAAATGAAAAGAAGTATTATCTACACTTCTGAGTCTATAGATATAAAAATCAGTATAGAGTATGATCAAGATGGATAAACTCATCTCTAACACATCATTTCACCCATTTTAAAACATAAACACTAAACCATCTGCAAAGTACATTCTTTGTCTAAAAATCAATACCACAGAGTCAAATGTAGCATTATCGCTACTAAATGCTAACTCACCTCCAATCCTCTAAGAGCACCATAAACAGTTTTAGCCTGAAACACACAAGCAAAAGAGATATAAGAAGAGAACCAAAAGTCAGTATATGTGAATGCAAAGTGTGACTCAAACCTCAATGGTGGCAGCTCCTACAATAGATCGCTCATTCTTCTTGGACACCATCAATGTATAACTCTCATCCACACCCAATTGAAGCTGAAAAACAAAATAACAAATCAAAATAAACCAATCTTGAAAACTATATTCATCAAAACAAGTTTTTTAAATTTTATTTTGCTTTTACCTCTTCAGAAGCTGAGTGAACAATGATCTTGAGAGAAGTGATATCATACTCAACCATTGTCAAGAATCTGATTCTCGCCAAGAAAGACGAAGAAGCTCTATTATAAGCGTGCTTGAAGATCATCCCCATGTATCTCTCGAATGCAGCTCTAACGATCGGGGATCCGCCTCCATGTCCAGCTACGGTTAGAGAAAGGGAAGGATCCACCGAGAGGGTTTCGTCTCCGGAGGTGAACTCCGCCGGTAATGGCCATAGATAAGGAGGAGAGTCTTGGTGAACAGTCACAGGCGATGGAAGAGATGAAGTGATGGATAAAGAGAGGAGTATCAAAAGGGTATGAAGAAGAAGAAGATTCAGTGCCATTTTGAGAGAGTGTGTTTGTCAACGACTCATTCACATTAGAAGATAGATAGATTTGGATTCTTTTTACCTGTTTTGATTTTATTACAGGAACTTCGAAGCATCAGCATCATGTTTTGGTTAGTTGGGTGTGGAAGAATGTTCCTTTACTCTAAAGGTTGACTTTTTCTACATGTTCTTTGCAGGTACGGTTTGTTCGGTTATTTCGGTTTAGATGGTTTGATTTAGTTTGCTTTGGTATTTGGTTAGTATGGTTTTTGAAATTATGCCAAATTTAGTTTGAATTTTTTTGTTTCAGTTAGATGTTGGCTTAATTTTATTAACAAATTTGGATAATTTTGGTTAATTTGGTTCGAAATTCTGATTAGTTTAGTTTGAAAATCTAATTAGCCAACCGTCAAACCCAACCAATAACTGTTTTTTTTTTATTGATTGCCAAGCTGAAGTACTAAACTGTTCATAACCGAATCTGAACCAAAAACAAAAATTTCGGTTTGGTTTGGTTGGTTCAGGTCAAAATCCAAAGCCTAGTTATTATGATAGGTCATGTTATCAATGTATATCTTCCTAGTAACTATGAATTGCTTAACTTTTGAAAAAGGTAACAAAACATTGACACACTTCAAGTTATTGCATTTTCTTTTTTCATATCATCCAAATTGAAAGTAAAAACATGTCTGCCAACATTGTTAAGATTCTATGTTTTGTTGTTGAAGGAACTCAAGATCCTTCATTTGCATTTGAATAGCTTCTTTAGGCAGCCGTTTCTCAGACATGAGATTCTCTTCTTCTCCTCCTTCAGCAACTCGAGCCGCCTTCTCTTTAATGATTCTCTCAATTTCTGACTTGTCAACAGACGGGAAAACTGCCGTTAGCATCACTAGAAGAAGCTTCTCATCTTCCTCCTTAATAACTCCCCTTCTGAAGCAACAAGCATATATGCCTTCGAGAGCCTTTTCAACTCTTAGTTCCATTGGGATTGTTGGCGCTGCAACGTTCAACTTAGCCCTTCTCTGCGTGCATTACCAACAAAACTTATCAACCTTTCTGAACCAATACACAATAGCATATGTCTAAAGAGCATGGATTAGAAACAAACACATAACCTGTCTAGCTTCAGTCATCAAAGCAATGAAGTTCTGTTCTTCGAACTCAAGATCATTTGAAATGCTAACCCTCGTAACACCTTCAAGGATCTCTTCAGATTTTAGAAGCCCTGCACCTACTGCAGCAACCCAACAGCAAAGAAGCACATACAAAGGCTCTCCTGCCTACCAAACAATCCACTTAAAAGCTGATCAAACAAATTAACACACAACAAAAAAAGGTAATAACTTTATGGAACACAACAATTCAACCATACATTATCTGAAATAAAAAACTAACAAAAAAATGCTAAAAACATTTGCTTTTTTGGTGTAAAATCACAGGGAATACAATATTCCGACATATCAAACAAACCAAACAAGCCACTTAAAAGCTGATCAGACACATTCACACCCAACAAAACAAAAGTTTCTCAGTTTTACTCTAATTTAACTACTGAAATTCTATAGTTTTTATTGTTCTCTAAAATTTAATTAGAGCTAAAACAGATAGAGTGTGTAAGTCTAACACAGCAATTCAACCACACGTTATCAATTTAAAAATCAACAAAAATGCTAAAAACATTTGCTTGGACTGTGTAAAACCACAGAGAATAACAATATTCCGACATAAACCATATGTAATATAACTATAACTGTTACACCAAAACTAAATAATCAAACTCTAGTTTACCAAAACCAAATAATCAAACTCTAGTTTACCTTGCCTCTACGCTGCTGAAACTCGTAGAAAGCTCTAGAATCACTAGGCGCGCATTTATTCCCAACTCGTTTCCTAAACTCAGCGAAGTCGACGAGATCTCTCCCGACGCCGCCTTCGTCGCTGAGGATCCTCGCGAGGAGTCCGATAACAGGAAGAGAACCGATTACCGTGTTGGCGAAGCTGGAGATAGAGTTTGGTTTCTCTATGTAAGCTCTGATCGACAAGGCGAATCCTCCTCCTCCCTCGCCGCCGCCGACGCGTTTGGGGCGAGAGGAAGCGGCGGGGATACGGAGGCGGAGGTGGAAGAAGGAAGGGGAGATTTGGTGGAAGGAAGTGGAGATGTGTGTGACGACAACCATGGCTCTTTTAAGGTGTTAGGATAATCTTGACCTTGTGTTTATATACGTTTTTTTTTTTTTTTTAACAACGATTTTATTTATATAAAATGTAACATTACAAATAATATAAAATACAACCAACTGCAAATTTAAAATGAAGAAAATACAATATAAGAGAATCAGGCTTCTTTCTAAACCATCTTCTCGGATAATAAGGTTTTTCGATGTGATTAGCTTCAGCAATCGTACAATCGATGAAATCCCAAGATTTCCTTTGCAATTCTCTTTGTTGTATTACATTGGTCTTATTCCAATTTAGATCTATAGATATTCTTTGGTTTAAAATCCACATTGATTTAACCATAAAAAATAAAAACTGGAAAGACCAATCTTCAACGATTGTACGAATATCGCCATACAACAAAGAGATGTCTTCTTCCATTTCATATTGTTGCTTTTTCCTTGATGAATTCCATGATTTCAGCAATATATTTTGATACCAAATATACTGTATCAAAATATAATTTCTGAAACAGTTTTCGTTGATCCAAAGCAAACTCTTCATTTTGATCTTGAACTCTTCTTCCATATGTCGAATCCATGGTGGTTTTTTGGGTGGACGTTGTTTCCACAACAAATAACATAACTTTGAATTCAACACAAACATATGGATCGTTTTGTCATCGGTCATGGCCACTAATTCCATGCCGGAGATAACAACAACCAACTGGGTGATTGAGTGACCAACACCCAAAAAGTTGTGAATAATATTGAAACTCTTATCGAGTAGAAAGAAGAGAAAATCACAAAGAAATTGGTTAAAAAAGGAAACTAGAGATGCCATTATGGAATCAAACACGTATCTGATTGATGAAATCACACTTTTGGATAAAAAAACAGAGAAAAAGGAGTTTGAAGCAATCGCTCTCCCTATCGCCTTCTCCATCGCTGGTAACTGTCTTAAAACAAAATTATGTTGTTGTTATTATTATTTTTGTTTTTAAACAATTCGACAAGCCTAAAGGGGAAAATATATCTTGTAAGTAAAACTATATTGGGCTTCGTTATAACCATCATGACCATTCCGTAAAGCCCAACAATTCGACATTACAAAATCATGAACACAACGTATGAATAGAAAATTTCACAAGCCAATTTAGTGCAGAAACTTTGGGAAGGAGAGGCGCACAATTCTAGTATATAGACAGTTTATAAAGATTCATCACCATATATTGATGACATGTTGCGTCTTTGACGTGATTTACCAGATAAACACATGATTTGTATCATTCAAAATAAGTCAAACGTACATTAATCCATATTATAAATTGTGAAGATGGTCTAATAAATTTTACAAGAAATACTAAGCAATTAACATAAGATGTAAAATGAGAAAACAAACAACTTTCTAATCCAAAAAGTTGAGTAACATGTGGAAGAGTTCTTTCAATGTCATTCACCGAATTTGCAAAAGAAGCAGAAAACAACCCACAATCTTCTTAAATTTACCATAAGTTTAGCTATTCAAAGTGTGGCCAAAATATTTTAAAAACACCATATCGTAAAAACGATCTACAAAAACCTTTAGTGCCACATGATACTCCTCATGAATTCTGAACCACCACAAACTCTACTCCATCATCTGTTTGCCTCTTGCAAGAACAAATAGAGCATGTTCCTGAATTTTATAATCTAGAACGAGTGACACATGATAAATTCCCTAAAAAGAGCAAAGACATTTTGTGTTGATATAATGTATTTGCTTTTATTTCAAGTAAACAAAAAAAAAAATAAGTAATTTACTTACCATTCCAACATCTTCAAGGATGGGTAAGTTATCTATAATGATTCTCAAGGGTGTCCTCTCCAACATGTCATAAACAAATGTTCTTGAAGCATCTTATCGTTTCTCAAAGTGACTTCTAGTCACCCATCCATGCCCACTTGCTATTTTCTACACAAAATTTTGTTAAGTTGTTTTAAATGTACATATTTTGACTAAAATTCTAGTAGTTTTAGTTATAAATGTGAACATTATAAATAACATTCATAGTTTCATTTTTTTCTACCCACATTTACAAAACCAACTCACAAAAGCATGAACTCTTTCATATTTGGGAGAATGGAATTGAAGGTCTAGTAGATGAGCTGCACTGGGTTCAAGTTTACGACACGTATTGGGCGTTTGGACTGACGAGACATATCCGTTCCCACATGCTCTTTTCTACACAAATTTATTGTTTAGTTATTTTAAATGTACAGATTTTGACCCCAAAAAATAAAGAATGTACAAATAACTATGATTTAAAAATATGGAATACATACAACAACACTTATGTCTCTCAGTCCTACATTACTAATGTAGTTGACTGGTTTGTTCAGGTTTCTGAATGAAAAACCTTCGTTATGTCTTTGGTTTCGAATATAGTTTACTTAAACTAGGTATGATAAATCACGATGTTGGGCAATGTGTTGTATAAGAAGGTTTTAAGAGATGTGTTAAAACAATTGTTCCACAAGTGTATGCATAACATAATAGACAACAAAAGATATAGATATATAATTATTTTGGGTTAATAATATACATTCTCTTTGATTTATCGGATCACTGATAAGCTATGAGGTTGTCCAGTCTCTTTGAATACTTGTTACCATCACCACTATTCATAAATGAACTAAAAAAGAAGAAAAATGTTAGCAGATGTCTCCCTACAAAAAAACATACATGTTTAATTCGTCAACCAATTATAAAATGTATTGGTATCTTGCTTTGAGGTTGGACTTCCTCAAATTGACTTCCACCTACTTGTCCTACATGTCTTTGTTGATCGTGTCTTCTCCCTATCTCTCTTTTTGCTTACCCTTTAATCCACATCTTTGTTGAGCTTGTCCTCCATGTCTACTTCCTTCTAAGTTTCTTATAAAGTTTGCACTTTTTTGCTAAATCATGAACAAAACTTGAAAATTTCTTATAAAGCTTCCACATTTATATCTAAAGTTTGCAACTTTCTTGGTTTTGATAATGTTATGAGTTCACCCTCCAAATGATTCAAAATGGTCTACTGTTAGGTCAGTTTTGTCTGAGTTTTTGGTGGTCTTTCTGGACCAACTTTAATTTTGAAATTAGATTTGTAATCTTTGTAATAATATGGGAGTGTTAGTGGAAGTTATATTTATATAGAGTTTGTTGATTTTAAAAGTTGATGGATTTGTTAAATTTGGAAAGAGTTGTAAAGAGTTTTGTATATTGTGAAATTATGCAGAAATAAATTGATATAACGATTCTAAGAATCTAAAGTATATGTAGTATTCTCTATACTACATATATACTTCAAAGTTCTAAATAGCGTTCTATACGACCTCTTACATGTCAAATAATATATAACTAGATTTTTATCCGCGCAAGAAACATTTCATTAATATTTAACAAATATTTTGTTAGTTTGAAAAAAATTGTGTTTTCAAAATATTTTTTCATTTAAATTAATGTTTTTAAATTTGATCGGAACCCGCAGTTTAACTGGTTAATCCAGTGATCCGATAATTCGATTTATATTTTTTAAATATCTATATTTAAGAAATCATTAAATACCGAAACTAATCGATTGAACCGATAGATACGAGATATATAATATTTAAACATATAAAATTAAGTTCTATTTATTTTTGTTGTTTTATAAATTATTTAATTTATCTAAATAACTTGAAAGAAAATTGTTAGAAATTATTAAAAAGATAAGAGCTAGTATTTTGTATTGTTTATACACAAGATTGTATGTTGTATGGAAACATTGATAGTAGTATAAATAAATGAATATATTATTTGAAAAAATGGATAATAGTATAAAGAAAAGAATATTAGTGATTTACTGTATGTTTAACTATAAAAAAAATGAAAGTGTATTTAATTTAAAAACTTAAGATTAGGTCCAACACAATATGTCTATTTTAATAAGATAGATTTAGTATTTTCAATTATAATAATAAAATATTACAGTATTAAATATTATGAAAGTATAATAATATAAATTTTAAATAATAATATAAACCATTGTGTATATATATATATATATATATATATATATATATATATATATTTGGTATATAATTATAATTTCTAAATACCTAAACTTCAGAATTAATAATATAAGTTTCTGATTAATAGTTTTAGAGATAAATATTGAGTCATCACTTGTTTAACGTCTAGCGAAAAGTCTCTTGAATCGACAAATCGAAATACCTTTTTTTTTTTGTTTCCAACCATCCACAGATCCAATAGTCGGAAAGTACAAAGATCAGTGAACTCATATCAAATAACATATGAAAAATACAACACAACTATAATGATCGATCCGAATTTCTATTTTTAGGGTTTGTATACTTTATTTTGAATTAATTGTGTATAGATATGTCAAATAAGGTTAAGAACCTGGACCGCGGGCCTGGCCCAATAAAGACTGTGGCGAGATGAGTTTGAGCTAGCATTTCTAAAGTTTAAGAAAAAATGGACTTTGTGGGACATGTTGAAAAAGGACCAGACCAAAAGTGGGATGGGCCATGCTTGTACTACGAGTCCCGCATAAGTGCGCAACAAACCTTCACTTTCATCAGTCCAGATGAAGAGACATGAGAAGATAGCTATTCCGATGGGAATCCATGACCGGACCTTCTCTGGGCTTCTAGCTACCACTAGAGGTTCTTTGTTACATCGAGCCAATGACCGTGTTGGCGAAGCTGGAGATAGAGTTCTGTTTCTCTATGTACGCTCTGATCGACAAGGAAAATCTTCCTCCTCCCTCGCCGCCGCCGCCGCGTTTGGGGCGAGAGGAAGCGGCGAGATACGGAGGCGGAGATGGAAGAAGGAAGGGGAGATTTGGTGGAAGGGAGTGGAGATGTGTGTGGCAACAACCATGGCTGTGGAAAAGGAAGATATTTTAAGGTGTTGGATAATCTTGATCTCATCTTTATATACGTTATCTTGGAGAGGAAAACTAACTACAGTAATCAGTAATTTACTTTGGAGTTTAGATTAAAAGGAAAACTAACTACAAGCTCTCTTTGGAGTTTATATTAAAAGGAAAACTAATTACAGTAATCAGTAATTTACTTTACCTTTTTGGATGGAAACAAACAGTGAAACAAAACGGTGAATTTGAAAGTTTAGAGGGCCGTTGTAAGAATTACTGACAAACCCAAAAAAAAAACAAAGGAGAGAGAATGTTTCTTGTACTTATATTGGGCTTACTTATATAAACATTATGATTTATGACCATTAAATAAAAGGCCATATTTCGATAGTGAGATATAGGTATCGTGCGTTTGGGCATCCAATCGGTTTCTGTTTGGAATCAATTCGGATTTGGGTTATTCTCTCTTTTTTTCTGGTTAATTATGCTACGAGAAACATTATTATAGCCGATAATGTTACATGCGGATTCACGTTTGACTGCATCACTTTAAGCCATCCTATGAGATCCATTCCTGACGGTACTCTTTGCGTCATGCTAAAAATCTTTTATAAGTTTTGTTGTTTTAGTTTTTTGCATAATTTGCATTCTCCGGAAATTGAAACCTAAAAATTGCATAGTCTCAAGTTCGAACCTCAAACCTGGTGTAGAAGCCTTTAAAGCTTGACCACTAGATCACGATGCTTCCACAAATTTGAGTTATTCTAGGAGCACAAATTTAATCTCACTCAGATAGTATAAAAGTTCAGTTCAGTGTCAATTTGGATTTACTCTTGTTTGATTCATATATAGTAGCGCATTGGAAACCTGGTTGAACCTGTTTTACTTTCAGTTCGGTTCTAATTTGAATTTCAGTTATCTAAATATTTATTTGTGACTCGAAAAATGCATATTTAAATTTACAACCTTGAAACATTTAAATAATTTACATTAAAACTGGTAGCATGATTAACAAGTGATTGTTAAAAGGAGAGAAGAATAAACAAATTAAAGCTAACTACTATAAAAACTCTACAAAAGTAGAAAACATCATTTAAAATTGTAAAAGAAAACATTTTTGAAAGTTTTGAAGAAAATTGAATTATAATCATAATGAAATCGTTAAAACATAAAATTCTCAATATTTTTCGTAATTATCAAAAAAAAAATACATTAAACTAAATATTGGAGTTAGTTTTTCATGTTTTAAAGACTTATTAAGATATTTATTTAGGATTGAGTTTGTATCTGATATAAGTTTTTAAAGGGTTATTGAAAACTTTCAATTTTTTTAATATCCGCTTAGATTCGAGTTCGGTTCGAATAAAACTCAAAAGCCAAAATATCATAAACAAGATCTATTAGGATATTATGTATGGTTTATTTTGGTTCTGATTTACCTTTTATTACATTACACCGGATAAGATTTGCAAATTCGATTATTTGCCCACCCCTAATAGAATATATAAAACTATACCAATATATACAGAATTATGGTAGTATCATGAATTGATTTTAAGTAGGAAAGACCAAATTTAACACTGATCTTCTATTTTCAATAATCATACCACCATAATTTAGTTGTCAATATACTCAAGGTCACTATAGCAAGTCCATCAAGAAAAAAGTATATTCAGACATGAAGTGGTGATTCTGGATATAAGAGAAGATTAAAAATTATATATCTAAAATTTCCAAGATTTTTCATTGTGGTATATGGATATGCATGGTAGGATCGGGATTTCAAAATAGGAAGAGTTTCCTAACTCTATGTCAAACTATCGAATCATAACGTAAATTTGGATCCACTATATGAGTGGAGCCGTGTGTTTTGTTTCGTAGCTTGAACGATTTGTTTATCTAGTACAAAAACCAAGGATTAACAAATTTATTTTTTTGTTGTTCCAAGAAAACTTTCTTTTTGTAACAGATATGACTTGTGAGTGTAACTCGAATGTAAAATATTGTTGTTCCGTTTTTCCTTTTCATTTTCTGTTATTTACTAATAGATTTTAACTATATATGCTTAAGCGTTTAAAATAATACTTGTATTTGTCATTTTAAACCCAAAGGGTTAGTACAAACTAATCGAACCAAATCTTTCTTTTTACTCGTGATCGAATACCGAATAACTCAGATTTGTATAAGTATATAAATTAAATACCTCTGCCCGAGTGTCCCTGTAATATCATCTGTCTCGCCCTTGACCGTCTAATCCGGGATCGCCTCATCCCCTTCCCGTCTCAAGATCACTCCCCCTTCTTGCTGCAGTTCTATTTCTCGGGTACTAGGCTTCCATGAGGCATGTCCGCGCTTGAGTTTGAGTTTGGTTGTTGTAGTCTCTTTGCTTTTCTATAAGTTGTTCTCAACATTTCTATAAATTCTCAAAAATGGTATAAATTTAACATTTTACCAATAAAAGAAAAAAAATACAACAAATTTGTTTCCTTTAGCTGATACGGCATGCTCTTACGGTATATATATAAAACTCAATCACACCATACATTAACAAAACAATACAATTTAAACTGCAATTGGCTTAGAGGGAAGCAAAATCAAGTGGATGGGTGTAGAGTGGTCAATATGGAATCTCCACTTGTCTTTGCGACAAGTTCGGGTTTGCTTTTTAAGAGCTTTCGGTTTGAAAATTGAGTTAAGCAATAATAGCTGCACCACCGCCTTTGTATCTAGCAACTGTTGTCTATGTAATGTCTCATCTCGAGTGATAGTTCATTTTTTGTATGACTTTGCCACGTTATTTCCTCGAGAATAGTCAGACGGTAGAGATTACAAATAGGTATGAATCAATAACTCTTGATGTACTGGATTAGGATATAAGTTGTCTAGTTTGGAGTAGATAAATACATTTAGTTAATGATTATGCGTGATCCCAAAACTCGAGTTGATCTGAACCCCGAAAATTAGCTTTGATCCTGTCCACCTTTGGGCTAGGGAATTTGTTCACTATTTGATTCTATGTTTTTTCTTGTTCAAGACTTATTATTTTTGCACCTTTGCTCAAGAGCTAACCCTAGCTAATTAGCTATTAAGAGACTGAAAATACTAATCATACGGATTCAAATGGAAATGATGTATCCCATTATGTCTTACGAAATAGTTGGGCTATGTCTTACTGGATTTTAAGCTGGTGATTAAAATAATAAAGTCTTAGATTGCTCATTATTTGTTTCCCTCGCTTGGATTTTTTTTTTTTTTTTGGCATCGGAATATTTCGTTTTCATATGATAGTTTTCACCGGGTTCTATTTAATTAGACTATTTGAGAAACCTTTATTTACCCACTTATATTGGTTCAAATGAAAGTAATGATATCGTGATGTATGGTAAGAGTTGGATAAGGAAGTAGCTAGGTCAAAAGAACGAGTGGACGAGAGATAATAGGCGTCTTGTTTGTAATCTTGCTGGCGACAAAGGATGTGAGAAAAAGAGATGAGTAGGGTTTTGAATACGATTCGAGAGCAAAGTTTTCTTTTTCTTGAGAAATTGATTCGAGAGAATAGTTGCTGTTTCAAGACTTGCATTGCGAGGTCCACATGGTGAGCAATGTATAGTTAAATTAAATGTCTGAGTTTTATGGATCTTTCCGAAACCTTGGATTTCGACAAAAAATCCACTCATATCTCAATGTGTTTTGTCTGTGACTTATTTACGTAACGTTCTCTCTTGCATGTCCATTTGCGCCACGTTATCCAGCTGGTTCTCACGTTTGCGATTATTTGATCACAATGTAGATTGTGCGTGACATGTCAACAGCCCATTGGTCCGCAATCAAAAGCTTTAATCTGCCGCGCCCGCCTTACCCAACCAAAAAACTATTGAACATTTTGCTTCTCTTTTTGATAAATTTCCATCATCATAATCTACACCAGAGCAGCTGAGCATTTTATACATTAAGTTTGATTTGATTCTTATATGTTTCTATTAGATCCAAAAAATCTAAATATCCATAAATCCTTGAAACAAAACAAATATTAAAAATATCCATTAAAAAAAGCAAACCATAAATATTAAAAAATTAGGTCTGGAATCCAATCAACTCCAACATTATACAAATAGATATATATATATATATAAATAAATATATAATTATATATATATAAATATAAAATTTATATATATAATTCTATAATAAGATATCCATAAGATACAAACAAATCACAAATACTGAAAATTATGGTGTTATTCGATATATGACCACCCCTAGTCTACACTACACATGTCATAGACTGAGTACACCGTATATCCCAATGGATAATTCACATCATCATACTCTACATTACACATGTCATAAACTATAGATCTCAATTAGGCGTTGCTCAAAAAAAAAAAGATCTCAATTTGGCCAAAACGCAAACTAATCAACTAAACATGTAGTAAAATGAATATTATCGTTGTTACTTTAGATAATCTATAGTGGAATATATCTTCATAGTGAACGTTCTTAATTTCTTTTACTATTTTGTTAATCCAGATTCTATTTTTGAATATGCACATTATCCTCATGGATATATGTGTTATCATGAATACAAATGAGTTGTATCCTTTGAGATATTAGATTAAGGGATAAAGGTGATTAAATGTTGATTCATGAGGTTTAGGGATTAATTTACAGTGGTCCTTGCTTATTTTATAAGTTTATTGAAATATTCGATCTTGCTTATCAATATCTAGCTAGAATTGTTCGATAAAATATTTGAATGAATTTTATAGGTTCTTTATATACTTAGCTGATTAAAATTGATGATTGAAATATTTACTGTCTAATTCATACATGCTTATCTTTTTATTACTAATGAATATGGATGTTAAATGCGTTAGTAGTGTAGAGCTGTATTTTCATGAAAGTGTATTACTTAAATGGGTGTTCATAAAAGAAAAGAAAAAAAAAGGATGTTCATAGATTTAAAAAATTACACCGAAGATTGAAATTTACATCATGCTTACACTTAAGTTATGCATTTCACACTATTTATATTCTATTTAAAATAACACGGTTATTTACAATTTGTCAATTCAATTATTTATTTATCACTACTTTAAAATTGTGTATTTTCATTCATCAATCATGCTATGCAACCTATATAAAGTGCATTTTAATATAAAACTAGATTTTGACCCGCGCTTAAAAGCGCGGAAATTTTTTATGATTAAAAATTTATATAATTGAGTTTTGTCATAATTTAAATAATATTTTGATGTAAAATCAGTTCACCAAAATTTGTGATGATGATTGTTTTTCATTAGTTTTTAGTTTCAGGTTTTATTTTTAGATTTTGGTTTTTAGTTTTTAAGTTTTTACTTTTCATTTTCAATTTTTGGTTTGGGTTTTTAATTTTTAAACCCGCTGAGTTAGTTTGAACAAATATTACCAACAAACAAATCTCAAATAATCGAACATCTAATTTAAAACTGAAAATATGAAAACAAATTTAAAAAAAAAAATTTGAAATAGTTTATTTTGTAAATAAACAAAGCAAAAAAATATAATATGTGTTTTCAGCTCTTGATTTTGAATTTTAGTTTTTAGATTTGGTTTTTGGTTTTGCTTTACATTTTTAATCAGTAAATTATTTAAGAAAAATAAAACAATAAATTATTTAAAAGTTACCAATTAAATTTATCAAAACAAAGTGACTGTTATTTAAAATAAAAAATATATTAACATGTTTTAAAGTACATGATTTAAATAAATGATTAATAATAGATAATTTTGTTTAGTTAAAAATATTAAATACCTTTTGGGTCTGAAAATAATATTTGATTTTTTGATCTTTTAAGGTGAAAAGTTTATTCAATGTTTTTGGAGTTTTTTCTTAATACTAAGCGCAAAAACCAAACTATATAATTTGTTCAAAAAATAAAAGTAAGCCCAAAACTATATTCCATAAATAACCACTGGTTTAATTTAAGTATAATTAGTTTTAAAAACAAAAGTAAGCCCAAAACTATATCTCATAAATAACCATCGGTTTAATTTAAGTAATGCGGTTCAATTAATTATATGACTTGTGTTACATATTTCTAACATTCTAGAAAGAGTCCAAAATTAAATGAGAATGCAGAAAACTCTAGTCTTTTATCCATAGCTACGCTAATTGATGAAAAAATAGAGTGATTGTTATTTAAAATAAAAAATATTAATACATTTTTTAAAGTAAATGATTTAAATAAGTGATTAATAATAGATAATTTTGTTTTGTTGAAAATATTAAATATTTTGGGCTAAAAAATATTAACATGTTTTAAAGTACATGATTTAAATAAGTAATTAATAATAGATAATTTTGTTTTGTTGAAAATATTAAATATTTTTAGGCCTAAAAATAGTAATGGATTTTTGATCCATTAAGGAGGAAAGTTGATTAAATGTTTTTTGAAGTTTTTCTTTAATACTAAGCCCAAAAACCAAACAATTAAATGTCATAAAAACAAAAGTAAGCCCAAAACTCTATTCCATAAATAACCGTCGGTTTAATTTAAGTAATGCGGTTCAATCAACTATATAACTTGTATTATTTGTAACACTATAGAAATTGTCCAAATTTAAATGACAACTTGTATCAGTAGATAAAAAAAATGACTCTATTTTAATAGAATAGATTAGTAGATTTTCATATTCCATATTTTGATGATTATATTCTTTTAGAACATTCCATATTTGTAGGAGAAAATATGTGTTTTTGGTATACACATAGATATCTGCCGTATTTTGAAGGTAGTTTACATTAAGGTCGTCTTTTTACATTAATTTTGTTGGTTTAATTTAAGTAATACGGTTCAATCAATTATATGACTTATATTATTTGTAACATTCTAGAAAGAGTCCAAATTTAAATGACAACTTTTATTAGTAGATAGAAAGAATGACTCTAATTTAATAGAGTAGACTAGATTTTGACCCGCGCTTGAAAGCGCGGAAATTCTTTATGATTAAAAATTTATATAATTGGGTTTTGTCTTAATTTAAAGAATATTTTGATATAAAATCAGTTCACCCAAATTTGTGGTGATGATTGTTTTTCATTAGTTTTTAGTTTCAGTTTATTTTTAGATTTTGGTTTTTGGTTTTTAGTTTTTAAGTTTCTACTTTTCATTTTCAGTTTTTGGTTTGGGTTTTTAATTTTTAAACCCACTGAATTAGTTTGAACTAATATTACCAACAAACAAATCTCAAATAATCGAACATCTAATTTAAAACTAATTTAAAACTAAAAAGATGATAACAATTTTTTTTAAAAAAAAAATTGAAATAGTTTATTTTGTAAATAAACAAAGCAAAAAATATAACATGTGTTTTCAGCTTTTGGTTTTGGATTTTAGTTTTTAGATTTGGTTTTTGGTTTTGCTTTACATTTTTTTAATCAGTAAATTATTTAAGAAAAATAAAACAATAAATTATTTAAAAGTTACCATTGAAATTTATCAAAACAAAGTGATTGTTATTTAAAATAAAAAAATATATTAACATGTTTTAAAGTACATGATTTNTTTCAGCTTTTGGTTTTGGATTTTAGTTTTTAGATTTGGTTTTTGGTTTTGCTTTACATTTTTTTAATCAGTAAATTATTTAAGAAAAATAAAACAATAAATTATTTAAAAGTTACCATTGAAATTTATCAAAACAAAGTGATTGTTATTTAAAATAAAAAAATATATTAACATGTTTTAAAGTACATGATTTAAATAATGATTAATAATAGATAATTTTGTTTTCTTAAAAATATTAAATACCTTTTCGGTCTGAAAATAATAATTGATTTTTTGGTCTTTTAAGGTGAAAAGTTTATTTAATGTTTTTGGAGTTTTTTCTTAATACTAAGCCAAAAAACCAAACTATATAATTTGTTTAAAAAATAAAAGTAAGCCTAAGACTATATTACATAAATAACCACTGGTTTAATCTAAGTATAATTAGTAGCTTTCCATATTCCATATTTGATGATATATATTCTTTTAGAACATTCCATATTTGTAGGAGAAAATATGTGTTTTTGGTATACACATAGATACCTGCCGTATTTTGAAGATAGTTTACATTAAGATCGTCTCTTTACATTAATTGTGTTGGTTTAATTTAAGTAATACGGTTCAATCAATTATATGACTTATATTATTTGTAACATTCTAGAAATGGTCCAAATTTAAATGACAACTTGTATCAGTAGATAAAAAGAATGAATTTATTTTAATAGAGTAGATTTACCATAAACAAAGAAAAAAAAGTTATCCAGAAGATTATGGAAATTATAATATGACTAAAGTGTTTTTTTGCAAAAAATAGTAGTGATAGCGGGCCATGGATCACGTGAATAAAGCGTGGGATGGCAACGAAAAAACGAAGGAAGAAGAGAAAGAGTGATTTTACAAATCTCCTCTAATCCTTTCTCAGCCAATTACGATCAATCTCCCACGTGGGACTTGTGGCCCATGCATACACATCATCTTTCAACTATACACTCTTTTGTCTTCTTGTTTTTTTTTTGGAGTCTTTTTTTTTTGGGGTGATCTTTTTCTATATATGAGTGTCTTTATCTCCACAAGTGGCATTTGGAGAAGGCACTCTTTCGAGTTGTAGTGTTAATTCTAGGGTTTCTCTTACCAATGGCTGATTCTTCTTCTGCTTCTTACATTCACATGGTAATATATGTTTATATAATTCAAGAACTCAATATGTACCTCCTCTTCGCGGAGAATTGATGAGTGGTTATTTGTGTTTTATTTATATTATCAAAATCTTTGGATCATGTCTTTATATATGTACAGGTGCACCACATGATAGAGAAATGCTTGATCTTCAACATGAGCAAAGAAGAGTGCGTGGAAGCTCTCTATAAGCATGCAAACATCACTCCAGTCATCACCTCTACTGGTTTTCCTCTTTCTCCTCTTCTTATTACACCATCATGTATAATTTGATTTTGCCAATATTATAGGTGCTCATGTGTATTCTAACGAATATGCCTTTAACATAAAAATTACAATTTTTTTTACATACAAAAAAAAAAAACTAGTACTTGCAACCTATATATATATTCGAAATAACTTGTGTAATAATTTATTTTAAATCTGTTTTCTAACGATAAACTGTTTTTTCTTTACAGTTTGGAAGGAGCTGGAGAAAGAGAACAAGGAATTCTTCAAGGCCTATGAAGAGAGGCAAAGCAAACAAGAGCAAATGTCGGAGGAAGAGACAAACCAGTTGATCCAGAAGATAATATCAGATTCATCTAAAGAATCCGACGACTGATCGCGATGTTCTTTATATCTCAAGAACCTCATATAGTTTGTATATGAATCTCATGAAAACGATTTCTCCCGCATGCATATTTATATGTAAACCATTTTCTTCTATATTCGCATTGGTCCATGCAATAAGAAACGCAAAAAGGAGTGATTACCGCTTCTTGTTGTACGTTATACGTACGTGGTCCACATTGCTTTTGTATAAATAACGATGATAGAAAACGGACGCTCATTCATCGACAGGTCGTGTGGCGTTTTAGTTATATGAATATGTCATGTATGTATATCATAAATAAAATGTTCAATTATGGTCTTGGCTCTTGGCTCACGTTCAAACTACCAGCATTCTTGAAAGTAAATTAAGTTCTATCATGGTTGTAAATCAAGTCGACCATCTAGTCGCCTAGAATATATACCAAACCCCATTTGAAACATATTGATGTTAGGCTGTTAGCTGAATCGATATGAACTAACCAGAGAAAATTAACATTTTATGGGTCTAAACGTCTAGTTAAGTGTATTCAATATTCGATATTAAATCAATAAATCAATAAAAGGAAAACTATTTTCCGATTGATTTTCAATCGCCCAAATTTCATTAACAAGATAAGTCCATGGAGTTACCATGGCTTATATGGATCTGTGATTCACATTAGAGAATCTTATATTAGCTTTTTTTTTCTTATCTTGAACTCTTAAGCATTTGAGATTTAAATCGGACGGCACTCACAAAAATGTCTTAACAAGCCATTTGTGTATTTAGATAGAAACTTTGATTATGAAAATAAAGATTCTCATTTAACACACTTTTTTTTTTTTACATTAAACGTGCAAACACAGAGATACATGAAACTAGTAAACAAGCACATACAGATAAAGTAAAGGAAAGTTTTCGTCAATTACACATAATTACTCTTCAAGCTTTGTAGTATGTAAGATAAATGCTGAAATGGAGAATAGTATCACGACCATCAGTAACATGTTGGTTTTCCTGGTTGCGCAGTGTTTCCACGACAGCATACCCTTTAGCATGCTCAAACTTCCCAGTCCCACCCACAACAGCAATATGCGAGGCGTGAGAAGCTGTTCTATGGACTCCAAAGAAGCTAATGGCATCATCAAGCGTGTCATGATGATCATGCTCTCCGTGGAACAACACGGTCAAAGAAAGGGTCTGGCTAGTTCCATCCAAAGAACTAGCTATATAAAACCCTTGTGCTCTGCCGATAACCGCAGAGCCTAGCTCATGACCCTCGGTGAGTTCATCATCGACCACGGTGATGGTACCGAACATGAGCTGCTGGAGAGCTGCTGCGGGAGGGAGTTGACCTGCGGTTACAAAAGGAAGGTTGTTGGAGCTGAGGGAGCCTTGAGAGTTACCGTTAGTGTTTTGTATGACTGTGTTGGCTTGAGAGCCACTTAGTCCTGTGAGGAGTGGAGCCGTGTTTGGGTTGATTATATTGTTGATGTTGTTTGCGTTCACAAGTGGGACAGCGTTATCTACTGGAAAAATGTTGTTGTTGGACTTAGAGAATGGTATTCCATTCACTTCGGTTTGTGCTACTATCCCAGTGACCACACGAGCTGATGGGTGTGACCCGCCTAGCACGTCATGCATAAAGAACTCTAGGACTGGTACGTGTCCGCCAGTGGCTGGTCCTGGGAGGGGAATTGGTATTTGAGGTTGTGTTGTTGTTGGTGTTGTTGATGCGGATGGTGTATTATTATCATACTCCTCTTCCGGTATAGCGGGGACTAATTGAGGCTGAGGTTCGACCTCATCGAGAAGTCTAGCGGAGTAAACATTGGAGGCTATCAAGAGGAAGGTCAAGATCGTTAGGCTAATAGCTTTAGCCATTGTTGTGTATTTGTTTTGGGTTTTCTAATGCGTGTTTGTGTTCATTTTCTGTGGTCTAATGGGTTTGTTTATATAGGAAGCTAGGAATATCATGAGATCGATGATGGAGTGGAGTTGTTGTTGTCGTTGCCTTTTCTTATCATTGTTTAGTTGAGGAATGGATTTCAACTAAACCTCTAGCTTCATTGAGCTATAAAATAATAATTTGCGACTTTCTCCTCTATTTTTCTGGCCTTTTTAATTCATTTAACTTTTCTTTCGCTCCCAAGTTATTTCATTTTCTTGGATAAATTAATTGTCAGCTTCGCCTTTCCCATTTATTCAATTTTGACCGGTTATTTCGAATACTTCGATAGGTTGCATAGAATGTTGAAAATCCATACTCCCTCTGTTTCAATTTATTTATCACTGTAGATGAAAACTTTTTTTTCAAAATAAATGTCGTTTGACGATTTAAACCAAAATGTATTAATTTTATATGTTATTTATTTTTATTGGCTTAAATGTGATTAGGTTTATTGGTAATTGTGTTTTATATAGAAAATATACAAAATTAAATATTTTCTTAATATGGTACATAAACTTAAAATGAAAAATCTCTATAATATTATTTGAGAAGTCAGTTTCCTACTTGTCGCGCTCACGTTAACTCTCGTGATGGTTGATTACATAGATACCCTTAATGAATTATTTTATTTTAAGATTATTATTAATTTTTTATTTAGTTTCCTTTTTACCTTTTTCCAAATAACATATATAATAAAAAGGAAATATTTCTAAAATTTTAAAACAAATTTTAAAACCAAAATATATGTATGTAATATGACTTTATTAAAAAGGAAAGTTCACAAATAGTAATACCTCCATTAATATATATTTTTAAATAACATAAAATATATTTTCAAAATAATAAAAATATATATGTGCATGAACATTCAAAAGTTTACCATTTGCACTTTATTTTCGAATATTCTTTAGAAATCAACATATGATTTGATAAATATCATGAAAAGACATGTATATTTAAGCGATAAATAAACTAATTTGATTTGACTTAACTAAAATAAAGAGTAAATAAATATTATGAAAATAGATGTATATTTAAGCGATAAATAAAATTAATTTGATTTGACTTAACTAAAATAAAAAGTAATTATACTTCAATTTTAATTTAAAAATATATTTAACTCCAAATTTGAATGACTTCAATATACTCCAAATTTGAATGACTCGACTAATCTAATTAATATCCAAAATTAAACATCTAACTACAATAAGAACATATAATGTTATAATAATAATAACAATAACAATAATCTATTTAATTTTATACACATAAATTAGAGATTGACTCAAAGAATATTAAAAAAGAAAATATTAACCAATTACAATTTAATTATTTTGTAGAATTTATATATATGCATGAGACTTCAAAATATTATCATTATATTCATTTATGTAATTTTGAATCAAACACTTCGGTTTATTATTTATTTCATTTTAAGCACAATATATATTAAGTTATACATAATTTAACTATAATATAACTATAATATATTTACATATCTAAGACAATAACCAACCGAAATAAAAATAAGAAAATTAATCAAAGTTTTATTATATTTAGAATAAAATATATTATAGCTGAATTTGAAAAATAGATATTATCCAATATACAAAATTGATAATCAAACCGACTATTGATCCATAAGATAATTAAACCGACAATAATATATCCAAAGTCATAAAATTTATTCAAAACTAAAACTAAATATCAATCAATTATTATAAAATTTTACTTCTATGAATATTTATATCCGTGCATGAGCACGGGAAAATCACCTAGTAAAATAAAATTATGAAGCATAAAAGAGAAAAAAAAAAGACTCAATTTGGATCGGTTCGTATAATACTATCTTAAAATAACTCATGCTTAGTTCGATTACGTTTTAGTTTGAGTTTCTTTCCGGATAATTTAGATAAACTATTAGATATTTAGATAAAATATCAAATAGTTTGGAAAAAAATATTCAGTAGTTTAATTTTTAATTATTATTTTAGAAACAAATGTTTGAATAGTTTTGGATAATTCAGATGATTTTGAGTCATTTGATCATTTACATATATATATTCACTAGATCTGTTAGTTACATTTATAGATATTTAGTTATTTTAAATTTAATTATAACTAGTATTTTAAGCATACAAACCATATTTTATATATCAACCAATTCAGTTTTCTGTTCGGATATTTGAGATATAAAAAGATAAGACCGTGGTATTTATGATTTTTGGTTCCGTTTGATTCTTTTAATTTTGGTTTGCTTTTTTCGATACCGGTTATTTTTACGGGTTTGATAAATCTCATTTCTATATAATACAATTCAAGATAACTAAAAGCGGCATATGTGAATCCTTATAAAACATATAATTACTGTTAGGATAGTAATATTTTCATAATTTATAGTAAAATAATAATTCAGGGTTGAAATGTATAAATCTCTCATGTCATCCACTTTTCTTCATTACGAAAACCTCTAAAACAAAAAGCTGTTTTTAAAGCAAAGAACAAAACTTATTTATTATAAATGGTATAAATCGAACATGAGTGTGTTCCAAAAAAGAAAAAAAAATCGAAAGAGTAAATCAGATTTGAGATTTTGCTTCATGGTTGTTATTAGCATTCACTTGAAGAGTATTGATTCTTGTCTCCATCCATTGGACAATGTCATTAAATACAATCTCTGACTTCTCCAAAGGTTCTCCGAAAAGAAGACTATGCCACATTTCAGGATACAACTTCAAAGTCTTGTCATTGGAGGAAGCCACTTCATAAAGTAGTTTGCTAGCCTCTTTGTCCGTCACTTTATCATCTTCTCCATGCAATACTATGAATGGCATTGTCACCTGTCTCGCATGCGTATACCCCAAAATCAAATTACTTATATAAATAAGATATCAATTGTTTATTCATTTGTTTTTACGTTATATAGTATGTTATCATGTTTAATAAAAGAGATGTTCAAAAATTGTTGGAGTAGAAGACTAGTGTCCACGCAAACGCTTAAGGACCGTCTATACCTTACCAAAATATTTTGTGAAAAATATTTACTTTAGAAAAAGATAAATATGCTAAAGTCGTTTTGAAACAACCCTAATGTAACTTAGTGCGATTCTATATATTACCTCGTGCATCCGATTCTCTAGGTCAAGGCTTACTCTAATAAGCTCGCTCATCGTCTTCATACGAGGCCTCCCAATATAGCAATTTGGATTATCTCTAATCTGTTTTGTAAAAGTCAGGGAATGGAGTACATATTAGTCCGTAGAAACTATGTATTTGCCAGGTCCGTAATGTATGGTTTTCCAAAAAAAAACGCAAATATGGTCAATATATATATAGACTATTGAAAAGGAATGCAGAGTACATACCTCTTGTCTCTTATTAGGCAGTTTAATCGCGAGATTGATGATATCAGGTCCTGGAAGTATCGACTTCCATGATGGGATCAGATTTACTACCAAACTCATTATGGATATAACTGGTTGGGGTGGTTTCATCTCTTCAGCGATCTGTCTCCCATCATATTTATAGTTAGGCATGATAGGATTCTTCTTTTTTTTTACATGATACGATTCTTCATATAAAATATGATTATGAATTAATGTGAATGTGTTCACCTTACACATAGGAGCAATAAGGATAGCTCCATCCCAAAACCCTGGTTTCTTGCGATGCAAGAGAAGAACTACTGCTCCTCCCATTGACTCTCCCATTAAAAACTTCTTCTTCTTTGGGTTCTCTCCCATTTCTGCCGTACATAATAAACAAAAGATTACTGGAATGAAAACCCTAATTTTAAATAACTAGGGAAAATGAAAAAAAGGAATGTTAAAACAAAAATAAGAATCAAAATAATTTGTTAAGAGACCACTGAGTATGTAAAAAATAATATCTAATCTTCTTTTTTTTCCTTTTCTTAAGAAACTACTGCATAAATAAATAAATATCTATGTTATATATATATATATGCAAAGAAACTTGCAAATAATTTGAGACGATTCGTCAAATCATACTCCTTATAGAGATTCAAGCCACTCAAGATATATAGCCATGACTGTTTTGTTTACGTTTTCATTTAAATATACATTGTAATGTATATATGTATTTCATTTTAGATAAATTTACAACTTAATTTTTTTTATGTAAACTTCCTTTGTTAGTTTCACTTGAAAACGTCAAATAAATAGATGTTTCGTTTATTTACATATTTCAGACATGTTATAAAAACTGAAAATTTTTAATAACTTTCAGACGCTATTCTCTCATGTAAATGCAACGTTAACACAGATAATGAAGTTACAACAATCCATGCTCATAGTCATACTTAACGTTATCACATTTTAGGAGTATCAACGTGTAATCAATTAATCATGAGGTAAAGAAAGAAACTATGAAGTCGAATAAGAAAAAAAGTTTGGAGATGGACCAGATATTTTGGAGAAATGTGAATTGACATCATCGATGAGAAGATCGAAGTCCTCAATGTAGACATCGAGGCCACCTGATCTACCGTGCCCTTCATATTCAATTCCATACACACCAAATCCTTCTTTTGCAAACTTAGATCCAACATCTGCAATGTAAATCACGTTCACCTATTTGTGCCTCAATCTCATCAATTGATACATATGTATAAAGATATATCCATGCCTTTAAAGGTGGTGCTGCAATCAATTGCGTAGCCATGGCAAAAGAAAATGAGAGCTCTTGGTTCTTGATTTACTGGAAACCATTTGCAAGTTAGGAGTTGCGTTCCCCGAGAATTCTCAACGAATTCCTAAATCAATGAATGAAGTCATGAGCATTGACTTGTTCATTAGATGGAGAATAATTAAACAGCTAAAGTAACATTCATATCGAGTAATGAAATTTACCTCGCTATATCCGATTTGTCCATCAATATAAGCCTGTAAATGATAAAAGTCAAATCACATATATATACAATTTAAAAGCCAGATAAAAAGAACAAAACTAACCATATTTGATTTTGGAAAATGTATTGAGAGAGTAGCAATAAAACGTATCAGAATATATAGTTAGGTTGTTGTTTCTTGTGGAAGAAAAAAATGTTTAGAAAAGGTTTGAATCAGACAATAGTGTCATGTCCTTTTTCTTCGCTCGTAAGAACCATTACTAATATTTTGGTGGTAACCTAACTTTGCCAATTTCTCAACACCAAAGTAAGCACTAATTAAGGAATAAGTTTTCTTTTCCTTAAACGTTATTTTAGTGAAGTTGTAACATAACTTCATCATAATAATTAATAATGCACTAATATGTCTACTAATAAGAAATGTCTGTTACTTTCTTTTTTGTCCCAGATTTTAATTTCTCACTTACATTTTAGTCTTTTATAAGTGTCCTGTGAAGTTATAAACATGTTTTCATTTCATCCTAGTTGAATATTGCAAGACCGTTGGTGAGCTAAAGTTGATGGATGTAGATAATATATTAGACCATCCGCAACGGTAAAAAACAGGGATTGTTAGAGCATGTTTATTGCTAACACCCTTAAGTGGTGTTTAAGTAGTTTTTAATGATTTTTTAACTATTAAAACTAAGCTAAGTAACTTTGTTAAGAAACACCTAATTAAAATGATTTATTGATAGTTGCTTATTTATGATTCTTAATAATAAAAAAATATTAAATTTTTTTTTAAACAGAAATTTATTTAAAAAGGAAAAAAATATTATTAGATATAACAAAGTTAAACATAACATTTTAAACATAAATTTATAATAAAAACGTAAAAACAAAGATTACAAAAATAAACGATAATAATTTGAAAAGGCATGGAATCTCAGTTGTTGTCTTGAAGATGTCCAAATTTTTGCCATATATGCTCAACTAAATCACCTTTTAGTAGCTCATGCGCTCGTCTATCACGAATTCTTGTTCGAACATCCATCTGATTGGTGATATTTGTAGGAATATCTGTAGAATAATCGAGATCGACATGTGAACTTCCGCTGCCTTCTCCTGGTTGGAAATCTGAAACATCATATTGGGTGTATTCTTCTCGTTCGTTTTCCACTATCATATTATGGAGTATGATGCATGCTCTCATTATCTTCCCAATCTTGTCTTTATCCCAAGAAAGTGCTGGATTTTTAACAATGGCAAATCGAGCTTGCAAGACTCCGAAAGCCCGTTCGACATCTTTACGGGCAGCTTCTTGACGTTGAGCAAATAATACTGCTTTCGGAAATTGTGGAATCGGAATAGATTGGATAAAAATTTCCCATTTCGGATAAATACCATCGGTGAGATAGTAAGCCATATCATACTCTCTGCCGTTGACCGAGAAGTTGACTTGCGGAGCTTGACCTTTTATTATGTCATCAAAAACATGTGAGCGATCAAGAACATTGATATCATTTAAGGTACCTGGAGGTCCAAAAAACGCGTGCCATATCCAAAGATCATATGAAGCAACCGCCTCTAAAACAATTGTGGGTTTTCCTGAACCACGAGAATATTGTCATTTCCAAGATGTGGGACAATTCTTCCACTCCCAATGCATACAATCGATGCTTCCTATCATCCCGGGAAATCCACGAAGCTCTCCGATATGAAGTAGACGTTGAAGATCATCCGTTGTAGGTCTTCTTAGGTATTCCTCGCCGAACAAATTTATTATTGCTTCCACGAATTTTTCCACACATAATCGAGTAGTGCATGCACTAAGCCTGAGGTATTCGTCGATCGCATCAAGCGCATAACCATATGCCAAAACACGGATATCTGCTGTACACTTTTGAAGTGTAGAGAGACCAAGCCTTCCGACACCGTCCTTCTTCTGGCGAAAGTAGGGAACTTCATTGGATAGACGGTTGACAATATAGAGGAACAGTGGTTTGTTCATTCTAAATCGTCGTCGGAAAAGATTATCAGTATACGTTGGAGCGTCACTAAAATAATCATTCCATAACCGGAGATGACCTTCACGATTTCTTTCGATATAAGCTCGTTTTTTTGCTTTTTTTCCTTTCTTCTTGATCCCCAATGGTAAAAATCTGACAAGTATCATCAAATGCTTCATCAAATGCTTCATCAAATGCCTCGTCAAATGCTTCATCAAATGCATCATCTAAAATATTTTGAGAAGAAGAAGCCATATATAGAGATTGAAAAGTGAAGATGAGTCTAGAATTAAAAGAGAAATGAGTTTGGGGTTCTTGTTTAGAGAAATGAGTTTGGTGTTGTCGAGAGAGAAATGAAAGGCAAATATAAAAGAGAGAAATGAGAGACTGATATAAAAGTGTAAAGAGAACACTGGTTATATATAGAAAACAACTTAAGTCTATGACAAATTATTCACTTGTCCGTGACACAAATCTGTGTGAAAAAATAGTCCGTGACACACCACAGAAAAATACAACACTGAAAAGAGAACAATACAAGACATTGAAAAGAGAACAATACAAGACACTGCACTACAGTCTTGTCTCTTTCACCCCATGACTAGTGGTGCTCCACTCTTTCACTCGTCCGTGAATGAAACCTGCAACAACAACAAGTAAAACAACATATTTATTAACCAGGAAAACAAAATCTATTAAACAAACAAGTTGCAATAAATCAATATGCAACAGAAACATATATTAAACATAAGCTTATATATTAAACACAAACTTATATATTAAACACAAACTTAAACAGAAACTTAAGCAACAAGGTACATGTACACAAATTCATGAAATAAAAAGAACAAACAACTTAAGCAAGCAACCTGAAATAAAAAAAAACAAACGACTTAAAAGCAAGCAACCTGAAATAAAAAAAAACAAACAGCTTAAACGCCATGACACAAACTTCAAACGAACTCCTTGATGAGTTTCTTCTTCAAAGCTTCTTCCTCATCCCCTAGTGGTCCTTGTTTAGCTATGAGACTCTCAAGTATCTTATTATTCGAGATCCTTTCTTTGTGGAGCAAATCTGCATGATTCAGGCTCCACATTTTCTGAAACTGAGACAGCTTCTTTTCATCCGCCATTGTCTTATTGGCACGTGCCTTCGCGGCCTCAACACCAATGGGGCGAGTTGTGGCGGCATCTTCAACAGAATCTGCTTCACTTGATTTGGAGCTTCCTGATTGTGAAACATCCCACACCTCCTCTTTTTGGAGTTTCCATCAGTTTTACCCGTGGACACCTCACACCACTTCTGCTCATAACGCAGTTCTCTCCAAGCATGCTCAAGATTGAACTGCTTTTTATGGTTAGTAAGAAAGATGGTGTGGGCTCTACTGAGAACATTATTATCGTTTTGACCAGAGGTTTGCTCTCTGGTCGCAGCTTCAAATGCTCCACAAAATTTGCAGACTTGATCATTGATCTTCTGCCAACGATTCTTACAATTAGGTGGTTCTCTCTTCTCAGCCCCAGCAACCTAGGGACAAGCATGGTAGTATACTGCAATTCTTGTCCAGAATGTGTCACGCCTCTGCTCATTCCCTACTACTGCATCTTTGCTTGTGTTTAACCACGCGCTGATGAGCACCACGTCTTCTTCTGCCGACAACGCCCTGCTTTCTTTACGAGTGGCTTGAGTTGCTTCATCGGTTGCTTGACTTGCAAAGAAGGGAACTTGAGTGCCTTGGGTTTCTGTTGGAGCACCGAAGACAAGATTCTGTTGACTGCTAAGCAGACCAACAAAGTTGTGTCTCTCATTGAACGGATTAAAATCCATTTCGATTTTGGAGGGAAGGAAACAGTTTACACAACAAAGATAGAGTAGAGAGAACCAAAGAGTTTGTTTTGATTTGGAGTGGATGAAAGAGTATTAAACAGAGAAGATAGAATACATAAATAAATGATAGCATTCAACACTCAAAACAACTAACACCAACAAGAATCGAGTTGACATGTAGCTAACTTAAATTAATTACCATTACACAATAATAATCAAAGAAAACGAAGTCATTTATTAGTAACAAATCAATTCATTATCAAACCCCAATAAGTTATTTAACTCTCTTCCTCAACCATAACCATGTCTTTATTCATTTCAACACATCAAATACACAATCACTTCAACTTATTACACGGGTTCAATGCCAACAGAGTAAAACATCTTCCTACCTAACTCAAGAATCTTGACATTTTCAGATATCTTTTTACTTCTTATAATGGGGCCCCTTCGTTGAGGCATTATTGAGAACTATATAATTCACATGTATTAAAATTCTAAAACTTACTATATTCATCCCAATCAAATAGTGAAATATAAACGAACTTCCATATACATACATCACAATCTAAATGCATTATTTTCCAAATGAAATCAAGATTCAGAAGCTTCTATACAAATGACAAAGATAAATCAAACAGAGAAAGATATAAAAGTAGTGTAAGGATGAAGAAAGAAGTACATGTAATTAAAGTGTTGAATCAGAGAAGAAGGTTTCGTGAGGAAGAAAGAGATTGTTTATATTAAAGGTCAGCATGATGATGATCCTTCCTCGTTTCCTTGATCCAAGCAGCTCAACAGAGACACAAACAAAAGAAAATAACAAATTAGAAACAACTAAAACACATAGTTTTTTAAAACGACAATCAATTCACTTGAGACCACAGTCCTGAAAACGTTCACCCTATATTATAACCGACCAACAAATGAAACCCAATGCTCTTTTAAATTTTTTGAATCAAGTGAATTGATCTATGTTTTACCTGTTTTGCGGTTGTACTCATCTTCTTGAACGAACCTTCATCTTCTTGAACGAACCTTAAGAAACATAATCAGAAACAAGAGTAACTTAATCACTACTAACCGAGACAACAAACAAATCAAATATAAAGGAAGGATTTCAGACACAACAAGAACAATACAAACGTTTACCTTTCGATTTCAATTCCTCGGAGACAGCGGAGGAGATCCACCGACGGAGAGAACAGATGCATGCAGGGTCTTTATCGTCGGTGGGGGGAGATCACGAGACAGAGCCTGACTCTTCATTGAGTAAGGAAGATCACGAAGATACATGTCAGAGTCTTCGAGGGAGAGACTCTCTAACTCGGAGCCGCCGAGGAAGACAAAGAGAGATGTGGAATCGTCGATATAACCGGAGAACAACGCCGGTTCCTCGAAGATTTAATCAATAAACGCGGAGTCACCGAGGGAGAGAGAGAGAGACATGCGGAGAGGTCGAGGGAGAAAATGAATTCGAGAGAGGAGAAAGAGAAAGAGAGAGACTCATATGGTTGACACGTGGAGATAACACCGGCTGCTTGTGCTGCTTAATTAAGCAGCGAAGCCTGAGTTAATACAATTTTTTTTTCTTTTTTAATCCCAATTTAATTAAACACCCCCCCTAAGCACCACCGATAAACATGCTCTTAGCGTTTAGACCTAGGTGATTTCAGTTTGGAAATTATTAAAAAAAGAAAGTTTGCTAAGGATTAGTCCTTAATTAAGTGGTCTAAGGATTCAATCCTTAGTGATCTGGCGTGCATCTCTCTCGTCGTGTTCTCCTTCTTCCCTGATTCCTCCTCCTTCTTTGCTAGGTAAGAAGCTTCTGATATCACAACCATCGCGCCGCTGCTTCGTCTCCAAAGGTAAATAAATCTTCTCTTATCTAGGTTTATTCAATTTCTCTCATTCTCTGATAAAATTGTGTCCTTTAACTACCATAGTACATTTTTTCACCTCTCTCTTCAGGATTCTTTGTTGATAGGAATCGATAGATTCGTCTTGAATGGATTATCATATAGTTTTAGCGTTGATGATTGATGTATAGGGAGGAGATCTGTTTGATTACTGCTTTGTTTTCAGTAAATTGGTGAATGAATGCTACACTTTGTTTGACTGATGATTGAAGAAGATGAGAGTTAGTTATTTTTGTTTTTAATTTTTACTCATAATATTTGTTTGATCTTTTGTGAAGAGAAAGGACATGGAAGTCAAGATGATAAGCAAAGTGATGATAGCAATTTGAGTTCCCCTGCTCCTCTAGGAAATGAGTCAAAGGATCCATCTGCTGCTCTGGTGAATGACACTGCTGAAGAGATATCGGATCTTGTTACTCAGAGACTAGGAGCAGAAAATGGAAATGTTATTTCTGTTGAAAGATGAAAGGGTGACAAGAAGTTTATTGTGGAGAAACCGCTCATATCCTCTTCTCCGGATCCTTGTGTTAAGGAGATCGCTCTTGTTGTCAATCCTGTTTCCAAAGTAGTGATTTCTGAAAAGAGTGGGCATTCTGAGACCTCAACACACTCGAAAGAGTATCCATCTACGGGACTGGAGAAAGGTAATGGTGAGGTGGCTTTTCTTCCTGGTTATGCTGCTTTAACAAGCAGAAAAGTGGAGAGTTCTGAAGTTCCAGTATCCTCTGAGATGAAGGTATAGCATCTCTTTCCTTCTTTTTTCATCATTTACATGTGTATAAATACTCTTCTCTCACTTGGCTGATACCTCCTGTGACGTATTCAGCGTCTCTTGTTGCATGTTCCACCAGCCGTCCGAACTTCCTGGTTAAGCTGCTGCGGTTTGTTTGATGCAGTGTATAGGATGATTGTGTGATTAACAGAAAATATGTGTGTTGCTATTTGGTTTATCAGTGTTTGAGGTAGATTCTTTGGGGATGATGATGAGAAGACTGCTTATCTGTGCCATACACTGTGTGTAACTTGTCAAGTAAGAAGCATTTTTTTCTGAATATACCACTCAGCTAATGTTGCTTATCTAGTAGGAACTTGAAAAATTCTTAGTTGTCTTTTGCAATTTTGAGAAATATATTCACATTGAGGTTTTTGTTTGAACATTTGAAAAAACCAACTTCTTAAACATGGAAATATTTTTATTTTCTAAGAACTCTTAAATGAATTACACCATTGGACACACATTTTTGATAAGAGTCCTTCACTATTCAAACAAAAAAAATTAAAAACAAAAATTACTTTAGTATTTCTAAGGACTCAAATGGTGTTACCATCATTGGAGATGCTAGCGAAAACAATAAAGAAAGTCTTAAAACTTTCACATTTTAAGTTTTGTTTTCGAAAATATCACAAAAATCCAAAAATTTCAAAAAAAATGTACAAATAGGATTATGAACGCAACCAGGGGGGAAAGCAGGGCAACAGTTAAGGGGGAACTTAAAATGTGAATGTGTCCTGTCTTGGAGTGTCAATGGCTGATGTAGAACCCCAACTGGTTTAGTGGCGAGGAGATTGGCTCGACAAAAGATAATCCATTTCCATTGCCAGATGTTTATAAGGCAGCTCAGCACAGTAACATATGTTTGTTATGTTTTGCTTTAGTAAGAAATGAAACACTTGTTCGCATCTACTTAACTCCTCTGTTTTGTTTTTTTTTTCACCAGCTTAAGAACATTAAAGAAACAAGACGATCGCTAAGAGAAACACCTCTAGAAGATAACCGGAAAAAGGAGCTATCAAGCACACTCCATGTGTATTTCAAAGACTGGCTCTATGGTAAGAAGTTTCGAGTTCAATCCCTACTCAAAACGTTTATGTGCATCATATTATCTAATTAGGTTTTGATTGTCTATTACTACGCAAGTCAACAAAAATGATACCTTTCAATAAATAAAAAACAACCCACAACAAAAAGGTTCGATCTTTAGCTCTTATTCACCTCAATAAACAAAACAAAACAACACACACAACAACAAGGTTCGACCTTTAGCTTCTAGGTATCAATTTCCTTAACCAGACACAAAAAAAAACCCTAAAGTTTTAACCTAACAAAGTATTTGATTTCTAGGCAATAAAACGAAACCCTAGACTACAAAAAAAAAAAACACAGAGAAATGAAAATCAACTGAAGCAGATAAGGTTACTAATCAAATCTGGAGATAGATGATTCGGATGAACTTGAAGCTATGATCTTTGAAACTCGATCTAGAATGAATCGTCGCGAGAAAGCATGTCTGATAGATAGTTCTACGATTTGTGGCTGTGGTCACGGGAGAGATAATTTTAGGGTAAAATATAATGTAAACGACGTCGTTTTGGTTTATTTAAAAAAAATAAACCCGAAACCCGACAGTGTAAACCCGATAGGGTAATTACCAACACAAGACTCGCCCAATAAAAACCCGCGAAAATTAAAATTTAAACATATGGGTTTCGGATTTCAAATTTTACCCGGGTTTCGGGTACCCTATGAGTAAAAACCCATTATTAACATCCCTAATCATATATAATTAGGTTTTGCTTGTCCCTATGTTGCTGTTGTGAATATGACAGCAAGTGGAAACATAAGACAACTCTACTGCCTACAAGTGGAAGAAGATGTCTCGTTCCTGTAGAGTTCTACTCATTTTGGCAAATTGCTAGTGAAAAAAACCACCAAAAAGAAGAAGAAGAAGAAGAAGAAGAAGAAATAACACTCCTTTAGTTATTATTACTGTTATATTTTCTTCTTCTTGCTTTGGTCATGTTTAACTTTTGTTCCTAAATTTCAGTCCCTCGTTTTTGTCCTCTTTCTCAAAATTTCATCTTTGAGACAAAACATGATGTGTCTTTCCTTGAATTGTCATAACATATAAAGCAATTTTTTTAAAAAAAAATTCTTGTCTTGGCCCTGGCTCGGAGGCACTAGTCTGCAAACAAGAATACACAGAGTAATCAATCGTACAAACAACAGGGCCACATTTAAATTCTTCGACTGATCAAAATCAAACTCCAGATGAACAGTAAAGTAAAAAACATAGAATGATTGAATGAATATGAATATAGTAAAAGATATCAAAACCAATGTAAGATCAATCAAGAGTGAGAATCTGCCTCTAGAATGAAAGTTCGGATTCTTTTTAGTTCGATCTATCAATGTAAAGAGGCTTTCTTTTTATCTCACGCAACTGTACAAGGTAAGGAAGAAGACGAAGAACTCTTATGGGTTGTTTGGCTTTAGGTTTAATGTTATTGTCGGTTAAGCGACGTTGAAACCCGCTGAAAGGGAGAGAGTCTTTTGTTTTGTCATATACTTTCAAAGTCCCACATCGGTAACAAAGCAAGTGTGGAAAGCATATCAAGTAGTATAAAAAGAAACGTGAGCCACACTTCCAAATCATACCTTTCTCGACCTTTTGGCTAAGATCAAGTAGTATCGGTTCTTATCAGTTTAATATCTGATATGTGGGCCATTGGCCCACACAATATTAACTCTATTTTTTGAGGGAGAAACTGAGAGATGAACATCCCTTTTTGCAGTCATAATCTGGTTTTAAGTAGCATATACTAATAGATAATTTGATAAGATCTTGAGACTATCAAGTCTTAGTAGTAAACTTCCACAGGTAAGAGCATGCCCATCAGTTGATACTGTGCAGGAACGAAATCCTAAGTTAGTTTTTAAAAAAAAAATTTCCTTCTTTTTTTGGTTTTTTCACAAAAAAAAAAGTTTGGCGAATCACGGCCTGCCACGTGGCGAATCCGTGACGATCCGGGTTCACCATGACGAACTCACATGATCCGGATTCACCACTTTTCCCCTCAAAAAACGTGTGAACTCCCCTTAAAACCCCCTAATGGGCTTGCTCTAAGGCTCTTGATGCATGCAGAAGAACGAGAAAGACTCAAAGAGGTTGAGAAGAAGAGTCATAAGCTCTTGCGTTCAGTTCCATGTATTGCCTCATAACTTGCTAATGAAGAGACAACTCGAATCCACCCATTGTGGTTCCATTGCTTATCTGGAAGTCATCTGGCTCAGAGATTTGACTCAGTCCCAAAAATTGTACCGTTTCTAACTGATGATGAGTTTCACTAAAGGTTTTTCATGTTTTCTAACGACGTCAAATTCAAGCATTATATCTTTTTTACTCTATATTTATCTACGAGTTATTACTGGGGTCATGCATAACATATTAGGCAGATAAGCTTGGGTAATGTAAATAGATCAGCAAACAAAATTTATGACTATTCTTGAGAAGTTATTTTCAAATTAGATGTTTTAACCGCACATGCAGGTATAATTTTCGTATAATTCATTATTAGTTTATATTTTATTAATTCTAACCAATATACTAATAAGTTATGATTTATGTTTTAAAATTAATTATAAATGTCAACACTCACATAACAAAGTATTTTTAAAAATATATTATTACAAATGTGTTGCTTTAATTTATTTTAATTATAATTTTTTCTATCTTAATTTTTTATTTCTATAATAAAAATATATATTTTCAAGATAACAATATAATACATAAGAAATATATTATTTTCTCAAAATATAATATAATTTTTAATAGAAATTCGTTTTATTTTATAATAAATTTTATATGAAATTATTAAAAATATGACAAATAATCAAAACTATCTAAATCATAGAGAAATTACAAATCAGATAATTCACTAAATTTTAATAGAAAATATATGTTCAAGATAACAATCTAATAGATAAGAATTATCTTATTTTTTTAAATATAGTATTATTAGTATACATTCGTTTTATTATTTAATAAATTATATATGATATTATTAAAATATAATAAATAAGCAACATATAAAACCATAGAGAAGTCGATAAATCAGCATTTCTTTCTTTATATTTAACTATTAATATTTTAACTTAGTTTTCAATTTCTATGATAAAAATATAATACATATGAATTATCTTATTTTCTAAAAGTATAATATTTTTAATAGAAATTTGTTTTATTATATAATAAATTATTCATAAAATTATTAAAAATAGAAAAATAAGCAAAATTATAAAAATCATGGAGAAGTTACAAATCAGTCAGTAAATTCACTTAAATTTTATAATAGAAAAATAGATTTTTAAGATAACAATTTAATACAAAATAATTAACATATTTCTAAAATATAATATTATTAATAAAAATTCTTTTTTATTAAATAATAAAGTGTATATGAAATTATTTAAATAAGATAAATAAATAAATTTACCTAAAATCAAGGAGAAATTGACAACTAATCAAATTTACTTCTTATATTTATAACTATTCTTGAGAAGTTATATTTTCAAAAATAAATTTGACCGTTGTTATGTGTAGTTATTTTTCCTTTAGTATATTGTGAAAACATGCTGGTTTTGTTCTTATTTATTTTATACGGATATCTTTCTCAAATCTGATTTTGCGTGTATCTTGGTGCTATATTCTTGTAATTTCTCACTTAAAGTTAAAATAATTGTACGTTAACAATGAATTTTGTAAATCCCAATCCCAAAGTACCATAAATACTTCCCTTTTGTTTTATCTTGTTTTCTTGAGATTTATGGCTACTTGAAGTTGGATGTATCTAAAGTCAAAATAGCCATTTTGGATCATTGTTATTTGGAAAATTTAATATATTTCTTTTCTTTTAATTTTTTAACCACAATATATTTCTTTCTACAACTTGACTTTATTATCATTGTCTCAATGTCTGACCTACGTTTGAGTTGACCGCTCTACCACAATCCCTTCTCCAAATTGTTTTCACACTTTGATATTATTAAATTGTGATTCGCTAGAACCCCCAAGCCTACATAATCCTTCTTTGTATAATATGTACAAAAAGCATAGAACATTACCAATGCGAATCTGAACCTAGCTAATCACTATTGTCAGATTTACCAATTTGGTAAGTCAACTTTTTGTTCGTAGACGATAATCTGACCGGATACTAACGAATATCACTGGCCATCGATACTAAATCGTGAGAAAACGTAGAAGATGTTATAATGCTCTTGTAATGATTTTGCCAACTCATATACACATCGTTGAAACGAAATTGGGTGGCATGTACAAACATAGTTGACTTTGGTAAGCGAATCTCGAGTTTGTTCTTTAAGGAAAATACATATGGGCCTATGGCTGGTATATGCCAGTGTTTGGGTATATCTTTGTATCACATTTTGTCGAGTGCGTATATTTGACCTTTTCTTACATACTCTATCAATATACATAACATGTGAATGATTTTTCATGTATAATAGAGATGTATAATACATGAATTGGTCAAGTTGGTATATTATATTATTTTTTTGGTCAAAATCAAGTTGGTATATATATAACTAGAACGTATCTTTAAGTAATCGTCTACTGGTCAAATGAAAGTTAATCGTTTCATTTCATATACACGATGATAAGTGATAACTTACTAATACTTAAACGTAGATACGAAAGTTCTAGAGATGATCTGCTAATCTATTCACACAGGTCCTGATTCTTATAACGGTTACTTACCAGTAAGTTATCACGTAGATCTCAACATTTTACCAACAAAAAAGTTAACATATAAGAATATAAGATAAACTTACTCAAAAAGAATATAAGATAAATAAAAAGAAGAATAGTTAAGTTTGGTAATCGGTTTGTTAAGCTTGATAAATATGTTGCAAAATCAGCAACCACTATGAACAAAAGAAAGGTATACATGCATAAAAAAGATGGTAGTAAACATTAAACAACGTTTGAAAACGGTACTTGTGTTTCAAAAAAAAAAAAACGGTACTTATAGTTATAAACTTAAAATGATTCTATATTCAAATAGTCTTTGTCATGATGAAATGAATGCAGATACGTGCTTTCGAACATATAATAACATTGTCTTAACGGAATATGTTTAATTAGCGTAGTATAATAGTACACTTTGTCCGAATATCCAAAATGTTGTCATATCTTTGAAATGAACGTACAAATTTAATTCGGAGGCAGTGTTTACATAAACTACAGTTTACAACAGTCGAAGATCGTTTGATAACTAAAACTATCAATGTTACTAGAGATAAGAATAAGATGTATATAATAAAATTGACGGACTAACAACTTCATATCATTTGATGTAAAATCAGTGTTAAGATTATAACATTATATATGTCTGCTAGTACATATAATATGTCAACTCGAATATGAAACTTGAGCTAATAAGCCATATGTGTGAACCTTTGAACTTTAAATAGTTTAATACCATAATTGACTTTGTTACCATTTGCTGCATCATAGTTTGAGACTTTGAGTTTAATACTAACTAGATCATAACCCATCCGACCGGACGGGTCTTTGTTTTTATGGTATATATAAATATTTTAAAAATTACAATCTTACGGTTCCAATTTTATTAAGTAATAGTATACTGTTTAAACATTGTATTTCATCACTATATTGTGTAACAGGACGTCGGTAAAATGTTGTAACCCGTAAATATTTTAGCAATATTTTATAAAGTTTTTTTGACTAAATTTAGTGCAAAGTTATATACACTAAATAATTTAGTCAAATTTTTAAGTTCATTTTTAATGGAGAATTGGAAGACTAGTATATTACTGTTAAAAACTTATAACAATAGTCAATATAAATTATATAAATAAAATATATATTATTCTTGATTTATTCTAAATACATTTAAAACACGAGTACATATATGTATAAATATTTTCCAGAAATAAAATAATATTAATGATAGAAAATCCAAAAACAATAATAATGGTACTTTGGGCCGCAGTAGTTTTTAGTTTAATAAATAAGCCCATTAGATTTGTAGACTATCATTGTTTCCAATCATCATAATTTTAAATACTTTCTATTCATGTTTCCAAACACTTAATTTTTTATACTTCAGCTTTAATAGTATAGATGAGATTGAAATCATTTTTTATTAGAGAAGACAACAAACGTATAGAAGTATGCACGGTTAAGAGTTCAACTTACTATAACCGAAAATAACAATTAATGTTACGTTAATCACATTTTGTGAAGCAACGCTAACCATTTAAAAATACTATTTATAAAAAGTGTAATACCATAAATAACAATACGTTATTAACTGAAACGATGAAATAGTCAAACATTTCTAGACGTGTTAAGCAAAACCTTGTCGTCATTAATATAACTAGAGACTTTTCCCGGGCTACGCCCGGGTTTTTTCCCTATATTTTAATTTTGCTTAGTTTATTATATAGTATATTTGATTATATATTTTATACTTATACTAAATAATATATATAAACTGTTAAAATGAAATTTTTTGTATTGTTTTTGGTGACTAAAATTATACAATTAGTAAAATTCATTTTTTTTTCACTATCAA